CTGAGGTACTGGGTTATCTCACTGGGGAGTTGCGCGGACGATCGGTGCTGGTCAGTTGCTCTGTGTGTTCCATCTTCTTCTGTCGATAGTTGCCCTCCTGTGTGTTTTGTAAAATAAAAATAAAGTACTGCAAAAATAAATAAATAAATAAATAAATATGTTCAAAGGAATCCACGTCCAAAAAACTAAAGGAAAATATGAAAATAATGTCTCATCATAAAAAATACCAATAAAGATAAAAATTATTAAAAAGAACCAAACAGAAATTATGGCATTGGAAACTACAATGACTGAAATGAAAAATTCACTAGAAGGGCTTAATAGCAGATGTGGATTGACAGAAGAAAGAATCAGTGAACTTGAATATAGTTGAGATTATCCAAACTGCAATACAGAAAGAAAAATAAATGGGTAAAAATGAACACAGGACTTCCGGTTTCTGTGCCAGCATGTGAAGGGCTTAGGAGTCATCATTCCCATATTCACAACAAGTAAAAAGCTGAATAAACTGACTGAAGAATCAACAACTCTTAAGTCAACCAGAAAACTGGTCACAGGGCAAACAGCCACCACCAAAACTAAAGAGAGAGGTGAATACAGAGGATCTCAGCTTAGGAGCAGAAGCCATTGCCAGAGCCAGCAACTAGTAAGAACACTTACATGGTAACTGATGTCTTCCTGGATGATGAATAGGGACTAGCATAATATTTTAAAACTCCTGAGGGCCAAATTTTGTTTTGTTTTTTGTTTTGTTTTGTTGGGTTGTGGCTCCCTTTCATGAGTCATATCTCCAGGAGTATTGCAGGAAGTCAGGGACCCCGAATGGAGGGATGAGCTGAATCCATGACAGACGAACATAAATTGTGAAGATTTCATGGACATTTATTAGTTCCCCAAATTAATACTTTTATAATTTCTTACACCTGTCTTTACTACCATCTCTGAACGTAAATTGTGAAGATTTCATGGACACTTATCACTTCCCCAGTCAACACCCTTGTGATTTCCCATGCCTGTCTTTACTTTAATCTCTTAATCCCATCATCTTCGTAAGCTGAGGAGGATGTATGTCGCCTCAGGACCCTGTGATGATTGCGTTAACTGCACAAATTGTTTGTAGAGCATGTGTGCTTGATCAATATGAAATCTGGGCACCTTGGAAAAAGAACAGAATAACAGCAAAGTTCAGGGAACAAGAGAGATAACCTTAAAATCTAACTGCCAGTGAGCTGGGCGGAACAGAGCCATATTTCTCTTCTTTCAAAAGCAAATAGGAGAAATATCGCTGAATTCTTTTTCTCAGCAAGGAACATCCCTGAGAAAGAGAATGGCCCCTGAGGGTAGGCCTCTGAAATGGTTGCTTTGGGGGTGGCTGTCTTTTATGGTCAAAGGAGAAGGGATGAAATAAGTCATGGTCTCCTGTAGTGCTACCAGGCTTATTAGGACGAGGAAATTCCCGTCTAATAAATTTTGGTCAGACTGGTTGTCTGCTCTCAAACCCTGTCTCCTGATGTTATCAAGACAATGTGTACCCGAAACTTTATTAGCAATTTTAATTTTGCCCCATCCTGTAGTCTTGTGATCTTGCCCTGCCTCCATTTGCTCTGTGATATTTTATTACCTTGTGAAGCACGTGATCTCTGTGACCCATATCCTATTCGTACACTCCCTCCCTTTTTGAAAATCGCCAATAAAAACTTGCTGGTTTTACCGCTCGGGGAGCAACAGGGAACCTGCTGACATGTGATGTCTCCCCCGGACACCCAGCTTTAAAATTTCTCTCTCGTACTCTTTCCCTTTATTTCTCAGACCAGCTGACACTTACGGAAATAGAAAAGAACCCACGTTGAATATCGGGGCTGGGGTTTCCCCCAATACAGGAGCTCACCTGGTTCTTATAATGAAGACTACAGGAAAATCCCTTTATATTTTAGTCTCCACTGACACTGCAGTGGAGTTGGCCTTATTACCACTATGAGATAATAAAAGTCATGAAATTTCACCAGGCCTCCTGTGGTGCCACCCCAGAAGTTAAGTGGAAAGTTGTCTCATTACCTACTGGGTCAGAGAAGAAATCCAGACTCCCCAAGGGGTCTCCACTGATACCACAGGGGTCAGAGTTGAGTCTCTGCTCTTTATTCATCCTTCTCTGACACCACCCTGGTGGAGGGGTGCTTTGGGATACTTCTTTACTGCTTGGTAATAGTAGACTTCTAGGCTCTCTACTCAGTCTTTGCTGGTGGAGTTGGGATAAGGCCATAGTTTTTTCTACAGTGTTTGCCTAGAATGCAGAAGTTATTGTCTAAAAGTTTTCTGTCTTGTTGAATTGCCCATTTCCTGGTCTTTTGGCCAGAAAAACTAGTTTCTTGTTGGGGCTCTTTTGTCTGAACCCATTGGTGTTTCCAAGTTGCTCAATTCTTCAGCTCCAAGTTTAGGAATCTGAGACAAAAAACAAAACTTACGGAACTCACTACCATGCTATTACTTTGATCCCAAGGTCCCTAGCTAGCCTTCCTTCTCCACCTATTCAAGCCTTATGTTTGTTTTCTATATAATATGCATGGATTTTAGTTTTACTTAGGAAGAATAAAAGTATCTGTTCCCCTAATATGTGAAATTTTTAAATCAGTCCTCTGCTTAAAAGCCACAGCCTCTGCACCAACCCTACACTTGTTCAATCCTGAAAATGAGTGTCTCCTTAAATTGTGTACCCTGGGCCCTTCGCATGTGTTATCCAGCCCATATCTCGACATAACATCTTTCCAGCCTCATCTCCCTCTGTGTTACCCCACACCCCATGTATTTTCATGCCTCTGACCTGGTTAGATGGCCCTCCCTGTCCCTCACCTCCTCTATCTGCTGAAATACCATCCCACAAGACTTCAATAAAATGCTACGTTCTTATAAAACCTTCAGTGATTTCCGTCTTTCTCCCTCTCGTGTTAATTGTCCTCTCCCTATGTATCCATGCCCTTTGTTTGTGCCTATATGGAAATTTGAATTGTTGACTAGGTGTAGTGGTTCATGCCTGTAATCCCAGCACTTTGGGAGGGTGGGGCAAGAGGACTGGATTGAGCCCAGGAGTTTGAGATCAGCCTTGGCAATATGGTGAGACCCTATCTCTACAGAAAATTTTAAAAATGAAAATGAAAATAAATTAGCCAGGTGTGGTAGCAGATGTCTGCAGTCCCTACTTGGGTTCAGAGGAATATAACCCTAAATAAGTTTAGTTATCATTAAGGAGCTAGGGCCTGTGGACCCTCACCATGGGGGTGACTACTTCATCTCTCGGTTTCCTTCTATTTCTGTGGTTACTTGATTGCTGTTTGATAGTCTGTGGGCTTGTGCATTTAAAGTTTGCTTTTTCAAGGTGTTTGTGAGCTCCATGGGGGCAGGAGCTCTGCAACCCTAGGTATCAGAGAACCTGCAACCGATTAGGTGCTGGCACATGTTATGATCATTGACCGAAATCTGAATCTTGTCAATCTGGCACTCATCACTTTCTCCAACTGAACCTCTAAATTTAGACAGTGCAGTGACTCAGACATAGCAGTTAAACCCTGACTAATATTATTTCATTGATTAAAAAGAATGCATACTTTCTACATTGCTTATAAGTCACCAACATTTAACTACTTCCAATGTGTTTTAGTAATATCTTTCTGAGTTGTAGTGAAGACAACCAGGAGGCAATAACTAAAACCTCTGTTTGAAAGATGAGGAAACCGAAGCTCAGAGAGTGGAAGTGACTCCCTTGGGTCACACAGCAAGTAACTGGCAGCAAAGAAACTAGGACCTGGTTCTATAATCCTTCCCTCCATCTCCTGCTTCCCAAGTCCAATGCTCTTCCACCCCCAGCCTTCCTGAACCTTCTGAAATGATGTGTTGTTCCCCATTCCCAGTCCCCCTAACTCTATTATTCAAAGGCTGTGATTTTGGCTGTCAGCTGAAAGATCTGCAAATAAATCTAGTTGCATTTTATCTAAGGAAGGGGCTGATTTTTGTGTTGATGTTTTCATTCAAAGCAATATCTCACTGATGATTCACATGTGGTGACTACTCAAGAGTACTGAGAGGAACGGGGCCATGTGTTCCAGACGGCAAAAGGTAGGCAGCAACTGTGCTCAGAATCAGTGAGTTCAACTTTGCAAAATGCAATTCCTGATACAGGGGCTGGCCTTTTCTCTACGGAAATTCTCTGTAATTCATATCCACAAGGACTTTCACCCAAGTCAGTTATTTGCAAACTGCCCATCCTGTGACTAACACCTGAGTCAAATGGTTGCAAACACCCTGAAGCATGCTAAATTGCATCTCTGGAGACAGAAGCATCCTGGATCCAAAACTACATAAGCCTGTGAGCTCCCTACTTGACCCAGTTCCCATCTCTGTGCCTCCTCCACAGCTCTTTCTGCTCTGCTCCCGGAAAACTCATCTTTACCTTCAGACTCTTGGTGCAGATGGGGACCTTGCTATGGCACTGGCAACTGCCGTGAGAAGAGCTGGGTTTTGTCCCAGAGAGAGGATCTCCTTAACTGAATCCTTTATTCTCAGAGAAATAAAAATTGTGGTGAACAACATGCAATCGGATTTTATGAACTGCCAAGGTTTGAAGAGTTTCTGTGTCTTTGTAAAATCCAAATGGCACATTTTACTATATGTCCCAGAACCAGATTACACCTCTCTTCCCATCTCCCAAATTCCCATCCAATCATTCCCTCCAAAACTTTATGACTGTAAAATCAGTTTTAAAAGAACCAAAGAGAAAAAACTGCAAACTCAGTGATGGATTACCGTGTTCTACCTTATCAGTGCCTGTCTAGGTGATCCATGCAGATCCCCCAGAGGTGCAGGTATGACAAGGAAGGTCACAATCTGCCAAGCACTGGGCTCTGGGATCTGCCCTCTAACTCGCAGGCTTAACTTTCACAAAATGTGACAAGACTGAGTCTGTCAAACCAACCTCTCATTTCTTGGGAGGCATTCTTCTCCATACTCACATGATTCAAGAGAAGTAACAGTTCATCTTATTTCACCTGCATACATAATGGCTCCTCTGCTCCAGGAAGGGCAAGAAACATTTCAAAAAGAGCTCCAACTTCATCATGGGTCAGACATCCTCTTGTCAGGCATCCTCCAGGGTCTTCCAAGTGCAGCTTCCCATCTCACCATCTCTTAGGCAACTGGAGAGGGGAAAAGAGAACAGCTCAAGAACTCTGTAGCTCCGCAAAGGGGAGATCATTCAGCTTGTCAGTTTTTTCAGTCTATAGTGCCTCAGACAGAGGGACAGCTCAGCTAACATGCTGAGTTAAACACCCAATAGGAAACTCAGTTATTTAAAGTGACACCAAGGCAGTGCTGACACACAGAGCCACCAGGCTGAGAACATTTTATTTACAAGCTCACAGCCCCAAGCCAGAAGGTAAAAAAGCCAAGAGTGTACACAAACATGCCTTTGCCTTTCAACCTCTCCTTCCATTCTTGACCTGAACCATATGTGGCTGCCACAGCAAGGAATGCCCCTGCGGAAGCAGAGAGTGTCCAGGTATCCCATTTGAAGGGATGTCCCTCATTGTTAAGTGACTCACATCTTTGCCATGGCACATTAGAAAGGGACACAATCAGCACAGGGGCAGCAACCAGGACGAGACCAAAATCAACTATAATCTCTGTCCCAAGACCAGCAGTCTCAACGTTTATATGGATAGACACCCAACTTGTGGTGGCTTACTTTGTGGAAAGCCAAATATCATCTATGAGGAGCTAAGCAGGCAGTGCCAACGATGTTCCCTGTGTAGCAAACAAGCAACCTCTCCTGCTGTTCTTGCCCTGAACCATCTGTGGCTGCTGCTGCAAGGAGTGACCCTGCTGAAGCAGAGAGTGTCAGCATGGGGAGTCAGCAGTGCCTGCCTTCAAGGGGTCAGCCTAGGGGAGGTCCATAAAGCCCTGATTCTGCAGCTCAATCCCAACAAGAACGGCCTTTCACACTGGAAAAACCAGACAGCAAAAGTATCTGAATATCTTTCCCACTTTCAGTGTGCTGAGGCCTCAGTCTCAGTCTAGCCATGCTGGGGAGTCTCCAGGGGTCTCTCCTTCTTTCTCTGGGCCTAAATCAGGACTGCAGAAGCATCCTTACTTGCCCCAAAGGTTCCTTCTCCAGCCCCCTATCCCCTGGACAGACCCACTGCATGTTGCAAAGAGATGTAGACAGTGATTACGGATCGATCTTCATTTCACCTGGACTGAGAAAAATCACCCTGGGTTACTGCTGCTTCCCTCAGCCACTACATCCCTCCCTCCACTTCCCACCTCTAAACACCAGTGGTCTCATGATGTCCCCAAGCTGCCAGCCCCTAGAGCCAGGCCCAGTCCTGCATTTACATTTCACTGGATGGACACAAACAGAATTTGGTTGCTTGTGACTATAGGAATGAGGTTCCTATTTCTTGCTGGCTGATGGCCCAAAGGCACTCTTAGCTCCTACAGGCCACCACTCACAGGCCCTCTCACTCAAGGCAGTTTACTTCTCCTTCCAGGCTGGGAGGAAAACCTCCCTCTGATGCTACACCCACCTTCTGTAAAAGGGCTCACCTAATAAGGTCAGGTCTACCCAGATAATCTCGGATGTTGTTGCCAGGGCTCTTTACCAACATCTCCTGACTGTTTTTCCGTTTCCTGGTTTCATTTTCAGGCTGGCCCCCTCCACATACTGGGCCAGTGTCAACTACAAGCCCACATCCTTAAAATCTCTGATCTAAAAAGCAGAGAGATAATGTCCTTGTCCAGGGTCCACAAATCCTACAAAAGGAGTTTAGTCTTCCCTGGATCACCTGCCCTTCAATTGAACCAGTCCCTGTGGAAAAAGGGACAAGGGCCCATGATCTTGTTCAGGTCAGGGTCACATGCACTGTCACTGATAACTCCTGCCACAATCACAGTGGATAAGCGGTGAAGCTCATCCCCAAGGGAAAGGGATTCCAAGCCAACTGAAACAACACATGTTCACTGTAGAAAGCAAGAGTGAAAAACATGAAGTTGTTGAAAATGTTTAGCATTACAGTAATTTTATTCTGATCATTTAATACAAGAAAGCCAAATAGGAATTCAAATTTTCAACTTTACTTTTGGTATTGATGAATAATGAAGAACCTTAGCTTCCTCATATTTCCACAGTTCGTTGGAGTTAAAACAATCAGGTATTACATATTTCACTTGCTTTTTTAAAAGTTCTCCTAAAAAGCTGTGAGAATTCTACACCAGCATGGGTCACTGTTGCATAATATCACTGAGGTCTGTTGTGTGTACTACTTTTCACCAGCAAAGGAAAAATGAAGGATTTTTTGAGTAACTTTCATATACATATTTAGGTACTACACTTTTACTAATAAAAGTAACTTTGACAAGAAAAAATATCTTGTATTACTGCGGTACATGTTACAATTAATGAGACAATATTAATATATTAACTAAGTTCGGTAATTTATATTCGGTTTTCTCACTCTATGTGTTGTACAGTCCTATAGGTTTTGACAAATGCATGTATCCACCATTATAGTATCATATACAGATTAATTTTGCCCCCAAAATCCCATGCTTCACTTATTCAACATTACCCTTCTCCCTTCCCCCTGCCATACCCTGCCAACCATTCTTTTAATTGTTCCTGTAGTTTTGCCTTATCCAGAATGTTACATAGTTGGAACCATATAGTATGTAGCCTTTTAAGGCTAACTTGTTACAACTGGCAATAGTCACTTAAGGTTTCTTCATGTCATTTTGTTACTTGACAGCTCATTTATTTTCATCATGGAATAATATTCTATGAAAATACCAGTTTTTTATTTACCTACTGAAGGACATCTTAGTTGCTTCCAGCTTTTGCCAGTTATGAATAAAGCTACTATACAAATTCATGTGCAGGTGTTTGTGTACCCACAGATTTTCAGCTCAGCAGGATAAATAACTAGGAGTCCAACTGCTGAGTCATATGTACCATTTAAAATTCCAACCAGCAGTGAATGAGAATTCTTGGTGCTATGCATACCCACCGGCATCATTTGGTATTGTCAGGTTTTGTTTTTTTATTTGAGCCATTCTAATACATACTTGTTAAGTATGATGTTAGCTGTAGGTTGTTTGTACACGTTCTTTATTAACTTGAAGAAGTTCCCATCTATTCCTAGTTTCCTGAGTATTTTTTTTATGATGAATGGGTGCTGAATTTTGTCAAATCCTCTTTTCTGCATCTATTGATATGATTTTTATTCTTTTATTCTTTATGTGATAGGTTGCACTAATTGGTTTTCAATATTGAACGAGAAACATACAAGAATACCTTACACACCTGGAGTAACTCCCACTTGGTGTTGATATATAATACTTTTTCTACTTGTTGGATTCTATTTGATATTTTTTTGAGGATTTTTGCATCTGTGTTCATGAGAGGTATTGGTCTGTATGTTTCCATTCTCCTAATGATTTTATTTTGCTTTGGTGTTAGGGTAATGCTGGCCTCATATAGTGAATTAGGAAGTGTGTTCTGTGCTTCTATTTTCTGGATAAAACTGCAGAAAATTTGTATTATTTCTGCCACAAATGTTTGGGAAAATTCACAAGTGAACTCATGTGGTCCTGGTGCTTTATTTTTTGGAAGGGTAATTATTATTATTATTATTATTTTACTAGATATAGGCCTATTTAGATTATATATTTCTCCTTTCTAAGTTTGGGTACATTGTGTCTTTTAAGAAATTGATCCATTTCATCTGTCATCAAATTCAGAGACAGCTGTTCGTATTATTCCGTTTTTATCCCCCCCTCTTTTTTTTTTTGAGATGGAGTCTCACTCGTCACCCAGGCTAAAGTGCAGTAGAGCAATCTCGGCTCACTGCAACCTCTGCCTCCCGGGTTCAAGAGAGTCTCCTGCCTCAGCCTCCTGAGTAGCTGGGACTACAGGCGCGTGCCACCACACCTGACTAGTTTTTTATTTTTAGTAGAGATGGGGTTTCACCATATTGGCCATGCTGGTCTCTTAACTCCTGACCTCAGGGGATCTGCCCAGCTCAGCCTCCCAAAGTGCTGGTATTACAGGCATGAGCCACCGCACCCGACCTCCCTTTTTATCCTTTTAATGCCTGTGGAATCAATACTAATGGTCCTGCTTTCATTTCTAACATTAATAATTTGTATCTTCTTTTTTAGCCTTCCCAGAGGCTTATCAACTTTATCTGTCTTTTTAAAGAACCAGTTTTTTATTTCATTTATTTTTTCTGTCAATTTCATTGATTTTTGCTGATTTTTATTATGTCTTCTCTTCTGCTTGCTTTACATATACAGACATACCTCGTTTTACTGCGCTTCACTGTACTGTGCCTCATAGATACTGCATGTTTTGTGAACTAAAGAATTCTGGCAATTCTGTATTAAGAAGGTCTATCAGCATCATTTTTCAAACAGCATGTTCTTACTTGTGTCTCTGCTGTAACATTTTGGTAATCCTTACAATATTTCAAACTTTTGCTTTATTATTATATATGTTATGGTGATCTGTGATCAGCAATCTTTGATGTTACTATTGCCATTGTTTTGGTCCACCATAAATCATGACCCTATAACATGGCAGACTTAATCAACAAATTGTGTTCTGAGTATTCCACTGACTGCCATTCCCTTATCTCTCTCCCTCTTCTCAGGCCTCCCTATTCCCTGAGACACAAAAATATCAAAATGATAACAATTAATAACCCTACAATAGTCTCTAAGTGTTCAAATGAAAGGAAGAGTCATGTACGTCATACTTTAAATCAAAAGCTAGAAATGATTAAGCTTAGTAAGTAAGGCATGTTGAAAACCCAGATAGGCTGAAAACTAGGCCTCTTGCATGAAACAGTTACCAAGTTGGAATGCAAAGGAAAAGTTCTCAAAGGAAATTAAAAGTGCTACTCCAGTGAACACACAGATAAGAATGCAAAATAGCTTTATTGCTGATATCAATAAAGTTTTAGTGGTCTGGATAGAAGATCAAACCAGCCACAACATTCCCTTAAGCCAAAACCTAATCCACAGCAATGCCCTAACTCTCTTCAATTCTGTGAAAGCTAAGAAAGGTAAGGAAACTGCATAAGAACAGATTGAAGCTAATAGAGGTCAGTTCATGAGATTTTAAAAAAATAAACCATCTCCA